TAATGAAAGAGCTGCACTATCGATGGCGATAAAACCTGCTGGAAACCACAGTGCTCTCTCCTGGGGCTTATTCAGCTCAGATTTCTCATAAACGATCTGGAAAAAAACAGAGATAGTTCTTTGAAAACACCAGCACTGTTCTCTGCAGTGGTCAAAACAAACAAATGGTTACGTTGTTTGCTTTTAGAAACCAGAAAATACTGTTTAACTGTCATAGAAGACAAAAACATACCTGCCTCCTCAATAGTTTCTAAGTTTGGATTTCACAAGTAACAATATAAGAAAAAGTACAAAAAAAAAAGACAACAATCAGATCTATAGAACCCTTTCTAATAAAAGAGGAAATTGACTCCTCTTCTTGGGATAGAGCTGAGTGAAAGACTGCATAGCAAAAGTGCAGAAAAGAGATAAACAAGTCTATTTTTTCATGTCACATATAAGTAAATTGTGGCACTAATTGATACAGGTTTGTTGTATGCCAAAACTAATAAATTGGATCCAAACTCTGTTAGACAAACCAATGGAAGACTACCAAGTGTATCATGAACTCAGCCTCAAACTCACTTTATAACCCAGTAGAGCATCTAACAGAAGTGACACCTGGAGATGTCAGATTTCCTATTTCCAAAAACATTTGCCATTGACAGAGACAGATCACAGAGTCTGAATAATATTAAAAGTCACTTAAATATCTGTTATGTTCCTATGTTCTGTTCCAGGGAACAGTGTAAACCATTCTTATCAATCCAAAACAAGAGCTGCTGGTTGTGTTCCAAAAAAACAAATCTCACTTTCCTGACATACTGCAGGCCATGTGCTTTTCTTTGATTAATGACAAAAAAAATCTTTATTTGCAGACCACTGCACTTCGAATTTGAACAAACAAATAAATACAGAGCAAGAAGATGTTAAGGATGAATACATCCCAGCTAAAGAAGGATACTTGCCTGACTTGGTCTATACCTCCCCAGCTCATCCAGGACCTACAGGATTCTTGCTCTTTACATTATCCATGAAATACTTAATGTCATTTGACTTTCATCCACTCTTTCGCCTCAGATTCATAATGTGAAAGGACTGGCAGAAGGGATAGGGCATAGCAAGTGTGGAACAACCACTCTCCCTTTGCCTTCACTTCTACCTAAACAAAGCTGTCCTTTTGGCTTACAGTATGGAGCAAGGAAAGAAAAGGCTTGAAGGCAAACAGATGACTCCCAACTCACATTCATGTCCAGTCCTCCAATGCCACAGCTCCGCAGGTCCAAGGAGGACAGGTAAGGCTATGTATTGCTGGAGGGAGAAATGGCAGGAAGCTCAATCAAGTCTAAAGCACTGTGAAAGTGGTTACTTGTCTCTTTGTGTTTATTTTTCAAATTGATTATACAGCAGTTAAATGTAGTAATCAGCACTCTGCAGCCTCGATAAACATCCACATCCAGAAAAAAAAAAGAGAGAAAATATTTTTTTTTCTATAAGCAATTAAGATGCATGTGTCAGTGATTAAGCTCCAAGTGATAAATGTGGAAAGATAGTGAGATTTGAAAACATAAAAAACTTCAAGTGATAGGAAATCATGCTTCCTGGGGGATACACAGAATCTGTTTATTTTGAAATCTTCTTTAAGTGATACCATACTTAAAGAAGGGGGGAAGTTTCAATTTTGCCAGAGTCCATTTTCAGATTTCTTTTTAATCCCATGACACACTTAATCAAGCTCACAGCAGTATAAAACTACTGTAAGAATTGGGGAAAATGAAAGTTTATTCATCAAATAATCAGGAATAAAGCTTATCATATACATAAACGTACACGCTACCTTTGGAGGACTTAAGAAAAATCTAAAAAGTACATCTAATAATTGGCAATAGGACACATTTTATGGATATAAATAGCAAGCCAGATCTGACTGGTTCACAGCTGATTCATCACTGTAATAGGAGCCAGCAGTACATGTTACAGGTCAGCTATTTGTTAGTTTCCTATCTAAGCCACAAGTTAAATTGAGACTGGAAAGCAAAAATGATTCACCCTTTCTCCCAAACCATCTACCTCTTGATCATAACCACTGAAGAATGGGAAAAGTAATCTGTGCTCTGTCATCTCAGGCATTTCAAGCCCACTTAGGTGCCAAGCAAATCCAATTAAGTTTTAATTCTGCTGACTGTAAAAAGAAATTAAACAACCCAGACAAACAAAACAAGGATCTCTAGTACGCAAAAACAGTAAGAGCTATGGTAAAATAATAAGTATTTAGCTACATCTTGAAGAGACACATGGCACTGTGAGTTGTTTCCAGACTTGCACAGTTACAGACTTAGCTTTGCTGATTTCTCTAATTTAATTTCAAATCTATGTTTTACAGGTATTTAAGTCCAAGCAGCCTCCCTAGGCACTTTTCAGTTGACGTGGAGAAATAGTACTTTAGTACTTCTAGGATTGTAGCAATTTGACAGATTAACATGATGGGAAAAAGGTGCTTCACCAGAGGAGTAACGACAAAGGATTGGCATAATAGAAAGGTGCTGTACAGGAAAGGAAAAAGATTACTTACCCATACCAGAAAATTCCAGGTTTGTAGGGGAAAGCTCTACCAAGGAAAGATCTCCAGAACAAGATCCTTCCTTAGTGGCAGTCAGCCCTTAAATGGGGTCTAAGAGAGGTGCAGCCAGGCTCCACCCTTTCTGGTCACACAGCTGAATTGCCTTCACCTGTGCTCCCACAGCTGACCCGTCCTTTCCCCAAGTGCTCAATCAGTGATTCCCATACAAGATGAAACTCTTTGCTCCTGTTTGCAGCTTCTATTCTAAAATGAGATTAATTGCTACCTGCATATGCATATTTTCCTACATAGGTTGCAAGGAAGGTGATGCTAGATGAGCTGTTAGAGATACCTATAACTGGTGTGATAGATTCTGTCCTTAGATGTAAAATAATCTGATTTCAATTGAGTCACACTATAAGACATGGAAAACAACCACACCCTTGCGCAGTCCTTTAGGTGTGTGCCTAAAAGAATGACCTAATGCTTAATCCTCAATCTTGGGTATAAGAAAAAGAACCCTGAAATCCATATGCGATTACACAGGAAGCCATTGCAAATAGTGAAATGAAAATAAGACAGATGAGTGGTTTGTAAGGGCATGAACCTGTGCATTTTAACTCAATAGTCTGAGTAAAATTCTGAGATACAAAAAGTAAAAATTTAAAAAAAACAAACAAACAAAAACCAACCAAGCACTTAACTCAGCACTTAGCTGCGTGCTTGGTTAAGACAGAAACAGGGAATCAGAATTTCTTCTAGCGCTTAGAGAAATGAACCTGAATGGTTGCACCATCCCATGAAGAGTTTCACCATCTGATGTGTGGGAAAGGGAAGAAAAATACAGAAATAATAACTTGAGGAGGCTTTTATTCATTTAGTTTCACTATCTAATCATGGAGCACAGTGTAGGAGCATGGAGCTCCATGCACACTGTGCTAGAACAGACTGCTTAAAGTGATGCTTACAGTGATAGTAACAAGAGCAGTATAGAAGAGGCATCAGAGACTCACTTTCCATATCTGTGCATATCACAGTGTTGAATCAAGCCTCCTACTGAAACTGATAAAAATGCTTGCCATTCTGACATGGAAATGCCAGATAAACAGATTGGAAAACTATGCAAATTGTGAAACAGCTCTGTAATGACCAGTGTTCTGACCTGGCTGGATTTAGTTGCTGTCATTATTAGTGCTGTCATTATTAACTATAGACAGCCTGATGGCTCACAAAAGTTTGGAATCTCCTTATGAAAAACAAGAAAATGCCTCTCAGGCAGCTACAGTGGTTACAGCCTATCATTATTATAAGGGGAGAGGGAAAAAATACTCATGCTCTGTCAAACTTTGTCAAACTCTGTCAAACTCCTTAGCAGATGTTTATACCAGATTAATCTCCAAGTCTTTGCTTGCAAGAAAAATAGGTGATTATAATCACACTGTTTATTGTTTGAAACAGTGCTCCAAATTCAAAAGGAAAGTGAGCAAAATGAAAATAGTAGTCAAAAGGTCAGCTTTAAACAGAGGAAAGGAAAAAAAATAGCAGCTTAGAAAATGGCATTTCCAACTGTAATGGTCTCTCAAAGGGAAAAAAATATTCCCATATCCCATAAGGCCTGGATGAGATCTAGTTACCTGCGTTATACTGCACTCAGAAAGCCCTGGACCAATACTTAGCATTGCTACTTTAACTGGAAATCAACACTGTAATAACAGGTGGCGAGCATCAGCATTCTTTGCCACATAGAATGAGTCCTGTGGTTAGGAGGAGCCTGGTCCTGAGAAATCCAAAGGGATATAACCCTTAATTTGGATATTAGGAAACATTTACCTCCTTAGAAGTGTGTGTGAAGTGTGAATTCTTTCCTTGTTCTCAAGGGATGCCATGGAAAACTGCTTTGGGATCTGCATGCTGTGTCCAGACAAGTTAGCACTTTGCTCAGCATGCAGTTTGCCTGCACCCTGTCTGATCACAAGGGATCCACACACTGCACACAGAAACCAAGTTTTGCACTGGCATCAAACTTAGAACTGAAAAACTGGTTGCTCTGCTACAATATAAATGAATACTGTATGAAGTATGAACAGAGCAGCAATTAAGGTTTTAAATCATCCTTTATTCTTTCAATCAAGTGAAGTATAAAATGACTCCCCATTAACTTCCCATTTCTTCAGCAATTTAATGTCCATCTAGGTATGGAGATGCTCCTCATTTGTAACAACATCACTCTCGAAGAGCATGGGTTGCAGCTTCCTCCGAAATTATGGTGCTTCACATCTCCAAAAGTTCCAGCAATCAGCAAGCAAACGAGAGCCTCCCGGTGCCATTCAGATGGGTTCTCAATAGCAAGGCACTAGCGGGCAAAGCCTTCCACTTTGCAGATGTCCCGGAAAAGAGCTTTTGGGAGGCTCCAGACCCGCGGGTGCCTTCGAGCGGAAGGCCGGTGCGGTCCTCGCCGCCGCTACTCGGCACCCGCAGCCCCGCGCGGCTCCGCGCTGCCCGTCTCCGTCTCGCCGCCCGCCGCCTTCGCGTTGAAGCACAACTTGAAGACCCCCAGGACGGTCATGACCAGGATCACCAGTACCACCACGGCCACCGTCACCAGAATGAAAACGTAGTTGGAAGAGGAAGAGGGCGGCGGGGCGGCCGTCCCACCGCGGCCGGCGGGCAAGGTGGCCGGCGGCCCCGCGGAGCCGCTGGGTGCTGGAGCAGAGAGGCGGCGGTCGGCGGCGGCGCTGGAGGCCGGGGCGCAGCGCTCTTTGCAGGGGCAGTGGGGCTCCTCCACGCCCTCCCAGGCGAAGCCGCTCGGACCGTGCCGGCAGCGGAGCAGCACCTCTCCGTCTGGGCACGCCACGGCAAGCTCGGTGCCCGGCGGGCTGAAGCCGGGCGCGGTGCTGGCCTTCCCGAAGGGGAGGCGGTAGTCGAGGCTCAGCGCGCCGTCGGGACGGAGGTCGGGGCAGGCGCCCTCCTCACGGTAGCGGCAGGCGTAGCCCCGGCCGTGCCGCTGGCAGGGCAGCTCACGCCATCCCCAGCGGGATCTGTCGGCGCCCACCAGGTGCAGCCCGGCACAGCGGGCGGTGGTGCAGGTTCGCACAGGCTCTTTCGCCCAGCGGCCGAGCGCCGCCGGCACCTCCCGTAGGGCCGTCTCGCCGCGCTCCTCCCAGGAGAAGCCTCGGAGCGGCTGTCCCGCGTCGGTACAGGCGGAGGCGTTCCTCTTCAGCCCGACCCAGAAGAGCGCGGGCCCCGCGGCCACCTCGGCCAGCAGCGCCAGCAGCAGCCCCAGCTCCGACTCGGCGCTCACCCAGGCCAGGCCGCCCGCCCGGTCGCCGCAGGCGCTGCGGGCCTCGTCGTACGAGGCGTTGGCCAGGTGGACGCTGAAGCAGGCGCCGGCGGGCTGACAGCGCACGATGGAGGGCGGCGGGGGCCGACCCAGGGCGCAGGTCGCGGCCAGGAGCAGGCAGCATGGCCCGGCCCGCCACCGCCCCATTCTCGCGGCGGGCCCGGGGACTCGGGCTGCCCCGTCGACTCTGTCGGCGCTCGGTCCGGCTCGGGCGGGCCCACTCCACCCTAGCGCCGGCCCCGCGCCCGCGGCCCTCCCCCGGGCCTACGCCGGAGGAAGCGTAGCGAGAGCCAGGCCTGACCCCTGCATCCTCCGTTTGTTGGCAGCCCGGCCCCGTCTGGCAGGGCGTCAGGGGTGGGGTGGGTGGAAAATCCCAGTGTCCGTCCCACCCTGTGAGCGGCACCAGGGACCCAGCGGTGTGATCTTTTCAAAGCCAGAGGGTTTTGGAACTTATTTTATTTTCAGATGGAATAGCTATGGATGACAAATCCTGTTCAACCAGTGTGGTTGACCTGCATGGATTTCATTGATGCTAGGCGCACACAGAGATAAAGCCCATTTTCTCTGGACTCCTCAAAGAAGAACTTGAAAGATGTACAACACAGCGAATCACAGAATGACAAAATCATGGAATCATAAATCTTTAAAAGACCTTAAGATCATCTAGTCTGACTGCAAACCTGTCACCACCATGCTCACTAACCATGTTCCTCAGTGCTGCATCTACACGGCTCTTGAACACCTCCAGGGGTGGTGATTCCACCACCTCCCTGGGCTCCTGTTCCAATGCATTACCACTCTTTCTGAAAAGGTTTTCATGATATCCAAACTGAGCCTTCCCTGGTGCATCTTGAGGCCACTCCCTGGGAGAAGAGGCTAACTCCCACCTTGCTACAACCTCCCTTCAGGTTGTTGTAAAGAGTGCTAAGATATCCCTTGAGCCTCCTCCTGACTAAACAATCTCAGTTCCCAGAGGTGTTCTTCGTAAGACTTGTGCACCAATCCTCTCACTAGATTTTTGTGAGCACGCTCCAGGGCCTCAATGTCTGTCTTGTAGAGAGGGGCCCAAAACTGAACATAATCAAGGAAGCTCAGAAGCACAGGATGTTTTCATATTTTCTAAGTATTTTAAACATTTGGTAAATATCTTGACAAACAGTATTTTAGAGACAGTTTCCTAGGGAAATCCATGAACTTTTTGCTACCAGTGCATTGCCAGGACTGCAGTAACCATGCTGAACAAAAACCTAAAGGTTAGATTTAGATTGTTCCTCTGGGCCCAGATTCTGTGTTCTGGGCAGGATATGATCGAAAGTGGATGCATACAATTATCTCTATTCACAAATTCTCTCTTTTTTTTTTTGAATTAAAAATACTACCAATGTTAATTCTGTACAAAGTACACCCCTGGTATCTAGTGTATCCGCTACTGACAAAGGATGTATGTACTTTGCAGACTGTGCAGTTACTTTTAACCTTCATTTTCTGCCAATGTTTTGGATGGCCATTACATTCTTATTTCTAGCTGAGCACAGAGGCCACAATAACACCCCCCCCCCCCCCCCCAAAAAAAAAAAAAAGGAATAAGATACAGGAAGAAAAGAAGTAATCCCTGATTTCCCTTATCCTGTGTGATCAATTCACAATAATTAGTAAAAACTTTTTTTTTTTTTTCCCAAATAAAATAGACTTCCCAGTGCTGTTTATGCATTTTGAAGTGGAGTTTTTTAGATCACTTTTAGAGATTTGTAGAAAAATGTCAGCATTGAGTTATCAGGCTGTCCCAGAAATAGGCATCAGTTAGTTACTTACTTTTTGTTTTGGGAATACACAGAAATTTTGTTTATCACATTGGAAGAGTTAGCAAGGCAGCATTTCAAAATACATGAAATAGACTGGATTAGGGCTAAATGAAATTTACACATTCATAACCATATTTAAGCAGACTATTATATGTGGTTTGAATTTCTTTCCTTTTGCTATTCAGCAGAAGTGAAACTGGGTCAAATATTGCCTACATTCTTGAAATTACTGGATTTCAAAAGCACTTATAATCCTCAAGTAAAAATAGTTACATTAAATTTGCTAAATACAGTTGGCAGTGCAATTGAATTTGGGTGCCAGTAGATTTGGTTTTAAAGAAAGCAGGTTTCCCCAACAAAACAATAACCTGTAGATTGAATAATTCTAGAGGCAGTCAGAAATGCTTAATCAGCATGTGCAGGTGTTAGAACCGCTGAGGTCACAGCAGGCAGTGGGGCAGAAGTTGTGATTCAAGAGTCTGCTGCTTATTGGAGCTGCCACCCACATCCGCTCCTCTTTGAAACTGCAGGGCAGGGGTGAGCACAGGGAGATCTGTCTGCCGTGATCTGCTAGGAGCTTAGTCATCCCACATTCAGATGGCTAATTTTTCCCTGTGTCCAGCATATATGCAACTAAGGAACCATTCCTTCAGACCTGTGGTGGTCCTTGGTGAGACACAAGGCTGCACTTCTACAGATATCCATCAGTTTGGTATTGAGCCATTTTCCCAAACTGTGGTTGATGATAGGTTTGTGAGATACAAAAGCTTGTTATGTTAATGCTTATAAGGACTATATTTGCCTCCACTGTCCTTCTCAGGGCTGGTGACAGTGCTTTCCCTAATGTGCACCTGTAATCCCACAGCTTTGGTTTGTTTTCTCTTTCAAAATGGAATTAATGCTTTGCAGCTGAGTAGAAGCAAACCTATATAAACACAATGAATAAAACAGAGGAACAAGAACATTCTCCATTGTGCCTCAAACCTCAGGCCATGTCCCTGGAGAGGAGAATGCAATTCAATCTCTGTAAACACTTGCTCCCTTGCTTCCCTTCTGACTGCTAGCTGCGCTGGAGGTGACCATCCTAAATGCCATCCACCATACAACTGCAGTACCACTGCTCATTTCACGCAGGCCACGACTTTCATTTTGTCAGCTACATTTGAACAAGCCATTTAGAAACAGCTGGGCAGACATGTGCAAGCTGTGCAGCCCTGCCTAGTCAGAGAAACCTGCGCCATACAGGGAATAGAAAGCACTATTCACCAGTACCAAAGGCTTTTTGCAGCCAGGTCTACAAAATCTCCAGACAACAACTCTCTCTCTGGTTTTGAATTCTCTTGTGTTCCATTTTATGTAAATAAGAAAACACTCTTTCCTTAATTGTCTTAAGGTTTTTCCTGAATAATTCCAATCCTTAATGAGAGGATTAGCTTTTTACACACAAGTGCTGATGCCAGCGAACATGTGAGGCAATTAATCTTGTATATACAAAGATTTTATGAATGGGACTGCTTATGACTAATTGATGTGCAAGTCCTGCTCTTCTCAATAGTAAAGGCTTTATTTAGCTGTAGTTGCTCCTTAGACTCCTTCCAGTAAGAGCTGAGCTTCTGAAAAAACAGTGGCTTTTTTTAATGATAATTCTATTAAGAACCATTAGGCTTTTTGTTTCATTGTGCCAGCATATCTGCCATATAGTATCAGTATGTTTCGATTAAAGAGTAATGAGAGAAGTAATAAAAATACTTTTTCTTTTATGGTGGATTCTCTCTTGCATTCTTACAGAGTAAATTAAAGCAATTCTTTTTGTGAATAACCAGGAAGTATGTCAGCACATACTTTACAAGTGCTAGAGCTAAGGAGGATGCCTATTCCTTTCAAGTAGGCTTGCAAATTGGCACAGCATCTTCTTCTTAAGAGCTGTGTTGCTGTGTAGAAGTAGAGGAGATGGATGGTGCAGTGAGATCTGCCTGGCTCTGCAGGAGACAAGCGAAACAATTGCATAACGCTGTTGTGCTAGGGTAGGAGTGAGGTAGCTCAGCTGGCAGGTGGCATTTCTCATCCCCAAAGGAGATACAGGAAAATGTCTGGAAATGGATGCTTACCTATTCCACCATAAACCTAAAGGAAGGAGTTGCAACTTCTCTTTCTGCTATTGGAGAGGAAGGCAGTGAGGGTGCACCCCTGTTAGCTGTGCTTTACCTACAGAGTGGCTGAGCAAATCCGTTGTACAATGCAGATATGATCTGTTGTACCATGCAGATATCTTTGGGAGTGAAAAATTTGGAGAGAGAACAAGAAGGGAAGATTAGAAGTTCCACTCGAAGCTGGCAGAAGGTCTGCCTTGACCCTGTGAGCTTGCTCCCTCTCCTTTATCCCAACCAACATTACAGCTGGATTTACACATTTTCCTGCTGAACTGATCATGATTCAAGTCAAAACATTCTCCATCTTTCAGTGCTCTATTAAAAGATAGACAATAATATGCGTTTCCCAATAGAAATAGCTATTTTGAACAAAAGAGTATCACTGACAGCATGCCTCCAAACTCAGGATTAAACCCTACTCCTTTTCTCACTCAGTTCTTCACAAAATTGATACCCATATTTAAACAACAGTTTACCAAATAGTAAAACTGGCCCACATTTTACCTGTAAGAAATGACTAAGCAAAGTATTTTCTCACAGTAGGTTATATTCTTCTTTAAAAAATTGGCTAAGTTAATTATTAGACCCTCTTGAAATCAATGAGAACTGTCTCATTTCATCAGTGTGCCAAGATTTCTCGTGAATATTTGACTGTATTCAGTCAAATAGCTTTCAACAGAGAGTGTAAATGCCAGGTTAAATGTGGCGTGTTTCTGCACTTTTCCAGGAAACAGGACAAAAAATCAAAATAAGAATTTCTGCCATATTTCAACAGCTTGCGTGATCATAAGAATTTAATTATTCATTACTCAAAAGGACTACAGAGATAATGAGGTTCACTTACACAGTCTGGAAAAGATAACCCAGCAGGGGTCACGCAAGTTCCTGTCTACTGTAGAAACCATTTTCAGTGATACTATCACACAGCGAAGGGACTTTAAAAAATAAGTAATAATATTTAACTGCTGTTGTGAGCACACTGATACATCTGATGCATTGATGTTGTGGACATAAAATAGAATTAATTCTGATCTGCTGAAGTGGCATTTAATAGATGGGATACACTGGCAAAAAACAAACAAAAAGATGTGGCTGTAATGCTATCAAATATGCATGTGTTACCCTTAAAGCTGTTTCATTTTTGATGTTCATGTTTCCATTGTTAATTATGCAAGAAAATAATGTATTCTGTCAA